TATGAATGACAATCAGAATGCAGCTCACAAGTATTAGAACCAAAATGGGAAGTCTGGTTCAGCTGATTTCAAAAGCTGTTTGTTGAGCAGTTTGACACAGTCTCCCTGGGGACTTTGACAGACTTCATAAAACCTGCCTCAGAGTAGACCATGTTGAAGAGACCTCATGTCAGGTTTGCACACCTACTTGACAGCATCCTATCTCAAGCGCCTTCAGTTCTTTGCCTTAGGGTATTGCCTTTCTAGAGGAGCATGCTCAGACAGAGGAATGTGAGAAGTACCAGGGTGTGAATGTACCTAGGCTCAGTCCAACAACAGTGGGCAGATAAATATCACAGGTTTCTTCCTTTTTCAGAGGAGGTAGGCAATCAGTTGTAGTGTTATGAACATGATTACTGTATTCAGAGGCTCTTAATGCAGCTGCTACCATAGTTAGCATATAGAACTTATGCTGTAAGATTCCACTGAACAGGTGATTCTACAAGGAAGGCTTACTAGTGAAGCCTGCAGTGTCAGAGGTAAGATTGCAAGTCATTTTAGGTAAGAGAAAATAATAAGAAGAAAATTCATTGAGTCTAGAATAATCTTTGTTTTTTTTTTTTAAAAAGAATCACCTAAGTGGAGAAAAGAATCTATCTTGAGAAGTAATGAGAGATTAGGCTGAATAGATAAGAACTGTCAGGGAGCAAAATGATAAATTAAAGATTTTAGGATTTGATCTAATGAAACTTATATAATGAATATAGATTCTTGATTAAGGAAGCTCTACTCAGAAAATTATAATGTAAGATTAAACTAATATCTATTTTAAAGAGAAAGGAACCCATAATCAAATCACACCAAAATATATTTTCAAGTATCTACTGTAGTATTTTTAATATATAAAAAGTATATACCATAAATATGACTAAACTTGAAAATCTGCCTACATAGTGACTTATTTTTATAAATAATGCCACTTTAAAAAACTTTAACTTAGTGTTACATGAGGAAGCAATAAGGTAGCCATGGAAATTGTACTTATTCATAAATAATAATGTTTCACCATTTTGGTGGGCAGATGCATCTTGTTAAATAAATAGACGACGCTCAAGAAAGTTCTCGAAATACACGAAGAAGACCCTTAAAGGGACCAAAAGTGTAAGGTAGTCATTCTTTGGTATATTGTGTCATCAGTGACCCAATTTATCAGATTCTACATATCATCAGAAAGAAAGATCATTTAAAGAAGGGGGAAAATCAAGAGTGTTGTGCAGCTTTACCATCTGAAACAAATATGATAAGTATATGGATGTTTACAGCAGAGTTTTTAAAAGTTGACTGAGATACTAGAAAATTTTCAGGAATTCTACAATTTGTTACTATAATTTTATTTTGTCACTTTTTTCCCTCTCATTGATTGAATGATTCCTGAAAAAACAGTCCATTTAGAAATTTTTATTTTAATGAGATATTAAAGTGATATATTAAATAATGCTTCTATTAAAAGTAAAAATGTATCTGCCTTTGCTATATAACAGCTAATATTTTCTATCTTAAGTCAAAATTTTAAGTACAGGAAAAAGAATTAACAATGGAATTATAAAGTGTTTTTTTAATGAACAAATGAGGGTAGTCCTAAATATAACTTAGAATACACAATCAACCTCATTTTTTTTAAATTGGGGCACAAATCCTTTGCATAAGGCCAATTCCAGTGGCATTGTACTAGGAATTAGACACTACCATTTAAAAAATTCTTTTGTTTTCTAAATTTTTACATGAATAATTATTAAAATTTTTAGTTACTGAGGAAATTATGATATATATGCTATTATGTAATTATATAACTATAATTTTAATGATAAAGCCAGTGACAGACCAGTGATAGTGACCAGATATGACTAAATATGTTTTATGTCACCATTAGATGAGTCAGAAATCCAAAGTTTCCCCACTATTTTAAAAATAATGGGCTGAAAGCACTAGCATACCCTACCAGCATGGCTATTAGAATATTTCCTAAAATATCTCATCATAAAACATATATAACCCTTACCTGGCATCATTTTAAAAGGAGTAACATTACTTCACCTTGAGATGCTCATAATTAAACAATCTCACATACTATAACTTTCAGTACATCAGAATACAGTTGTAGGATAGACAATAATTCAAAGATTTGTGCCTGACCTGATTGATGTTCTCACCATTACTTTCCAACGCATGCTCAATTTCGATCCAATTTATCTTTTCCATACTTCTATCACACATAAATGAAGAATCTGTATACATTTTTCATATACCTATAAATTATCACGATATAGCAATTTTTTGATACAATTAATCAGTGTAACATAAAGTGAATGGGCTACTATGGGGTCAAATAGTATCCATGATTTTTCAGGGAATGGCACAGGACAAATGACAAAAACTACAAGTTAGTCTTGGTCCTACAACACACTAGGAGTGTTATATTGGAAAATTCAATTAAACTTTAACCTGTAAAATGACCTTGATACATATATTATATTCCTCACATATTGAATGAGATAGCTACATTAATAGAAAGTATGTAAAATATCATGATCATTCTCTGTCTCATGTTTCTCAGACCATCAAATTGCTCAATAATTCAAGCTTTTACTTTGGCCATCATTAGTAGAAGTCACTTAGGGATTCATGATCGCTAGTGTAACAATTATCTGGGTTTCCCTTATGGCTAGGAGGATATTTCCAGGAGGAAATGTAGTAATCTCTTGAAGCAGCATATTTCTGTGTGCATGCTCTTGGCCTTAAAGCAAGAGGAGTCTCTCAGTCACAGTAGACAATCCTAATAAAGTCATTCATTCATTCATTCACTCATTCAACATTAACAGTTGTTTTCCAACTAGGCATTGTGCTAAGTTCAATGGAAATTGAAAGAAATTGGTATTGGTTCTTGTGTAAAATAAATTGAGAATTCATCTAGATCAGGGTCAGCAAGGGTAGGAAACAGAATTCACTCCTACTAGTTAAGATGAAGAAACTTTAAAGGGGGATGCCTACAAAAGTATGACCAAGGTTAAGCAAACACATGAGGGATGGTAAAAGCTCCTGCTACCCATAAGGCTGAAAGAACAAGTTGTGGGAACAGAACTAACATAACTCAAAGAGAACTGGAACCATCTAGAGGAGGGATCACATTACAGGAGCTACTGGTGGGAGGACCTAACTCACACAGATGGGATTGAGGGGGAAATCAGGAGCAGAAAAGAAATAACTTTTTGTTCTTAACTTTCACTCTCCTTTTGATGCCATTAGCTAAGTCCAACCACTTACTATCAGGAGAACCTGGGTGATGCAATCAAGAGAGGTCAGCCTCTAGGGTCTCAGAGTAAAACAAAGAAGGGTAAAAAAAAATGACGGAAGTAGTCAGATAAATAAGACTTTCCAGAGGTCCCATGAAGCCCACTGACTACCACAGACACTATAAGCAACACTGGGTACACTGAGTCATTAACGACCAACTGGCAGGGTTGCTTGTACCACAGTACACATCTTCAAAAGAACTCTTCTTCCTTTGAGCCTCTCTCAAAAAGACTTTCCTGTTACTTAATAACTTGATACAAGATTCACACTCAAATGTGACAAATGTTGCTTCTAAAATCCAAAGAGGTCCAATAAAAACTATGCATCTTTTTTTCATGTGAGAGAATCAAGGTACAGAAACTTGCACTTCATTTCAGAAGAAATACTGCAACATGACCTAACCTATGGAACTCTTAGAAATTTCACCAATGTGGAAAGCTGTGGCAGGGCACTTATATCTCACCATATGGCATGTGTGATTCTGATAATCTAGGGATTCTGTATCTAGGGACACGCAACTTTTCACTCATCAGACATAACTAGCAAATTTCCATTCATATAAGGGACTAGCCTAAAATCTTAGGGATGTCAAGACATTTGTGTTTGCTCTGGGCTGTGACACAAAGAGGGAAGGAAACATAGTCTTGAGGCAAGAAAATGAAGACCTACTGTTCTCATAGTCAGGTGAGAGACCATGCTCTGGCATAAGTGTATTAATCAGAATTGAGAAAAAAGGCCACATAATTTATTATAAGCTAAACAAGAACACGTAGAGAGTTACAGGGAGCACTATTAGTAATGAAAGCAGAATACCAGGTGTAACATGGGGCTACCCAAGGCAAACTGGGTTACATGGTTACACATGATTCTGACTTGCAGGACTTTGGACAGAACTTCTAGGGTTTAGGGTGATTTTGTTAAAATATTATCTGTTTGACACACTACAATATATTTTGACATTGAAAGGTATGTTCAATTTACAAGCTGTTCCATATTATAAACAGCAGTTGAATTTACCTTAAAATTATACACCAGTTTTTTAATAGTAACTGACTGGCCCAGTATTTCCTTGATTTTGTGGCTGTATCAGAAATGTGATAAATACAGAACTGTAGTAAAAGTAAGCATTCATACATCTTTGCCTAATAATTCTCATGTTTGTGATGTGCAGATGTTTTTACATGCATAATAGTTCTGGTATTTTTTGCTAAACTCTCACTTTTACACTTCATAATTTCTTTCAGCTCACCAGCTACATGAATGCACCGAAGCATTTTGATGGTATTACAAGTGACCTCTGTATATTTCCCAAGTATTTCAGGAACAATTTCATTGAAATTCAGACCAAAAATGAATGCAATTTACTTTTGCTTAATAATAAGGGATCATCTGGCTTCAGCTGGGTTCCTGTGACAGAACTTAATAAAACATTTGATGAAATCTTGATTAGGCCACACAAAGCATGGTATTTGGGAAACATCAAGTGTGATTTGAGTTTTTATATAACTCTAACCCTGATGTCCCTTGTGCTGAATGAAATAATCAGTTTAAATGTATGTACACTAATGATGTGTTTGTCATGAAAACAGAGCATACAATTCCTTCATCAGTGTGGCAGGGAGGACAACTGATTTAATTCACTGCTGATTTCTAAATATTTTTGTGATGGAATGCTTTTAAGAGCTGTGATATTTTTGAAATGATCTATTGTGTCTAATTTGTATAGTCCATGGATGATAAGCAAGGTTTTACCCTTAGTGGCTTTGTTTTTCTTTATTTTCAGTTTGAGAACTTTGAAAGACAAACAGATAATTGGATGCACAGAGATGAAGCCAAGATGTTTCTTTAAAAAAAGGTAGTAACCTCATTGCTTATGTGCCCTTTAAAAAACTTGATTTCTTCTATTAATAACAGCCATTTACAGCTGGGCTTTTAGTTGCAAAACATATCCTTACCTCAGAGTTTTTGCATATTTCTGCTCCCTTTCAACCACGTTCAAAAGAAATGAGAGTCTTTGAGAATGTGTACGTATACATGCTTGTCTGTGTGGTTTTGCGTGTAAGTGAAAAGGTATGTATAAGAGACTGAGTGCGTGTTTGGAGAGAAGAGTAGGTGCTCATGTTAGATTAACTGAAATATAGTGATCAGTGAGACTAATAAATGCTTAATGAACTCACAAAACTAATGAGAAGTTTTGTATTTATAGGATATCTTTTTTTTTCCCCAAAGAATGCCCAATGAGTTTTTCTTGATCTTATGCAGGGAATATTTTCCACTGAATAATAAAACCCATTGTGTTCAAAGAAAAAAAAACTTACTCTAACAGGATTTATATTTGGTCAAATTATACTTTCATTATAGTTTAACAATTATTTGAGAATAAACTGCACTCATAAAAATCAATGATAAGAGCAGAGAATAAAATTTCATGAGATTATCAATTGATTGACCAATACCTTCTAGGACCTTCTAGGATACTCTAGAATGTATCAAAAATATTCTAGCAAACACCTGTTTTTCCCCCCTAGTGTTCTGTACTCAAACGTCACTATAGAACATTTAAAATATTATAGAAAAAAATCTCTTTAGTTCATGCAATTCAGTATCATAATATAGGAAAGAAGCAACCAGATTTAAATACAGCACAATAATAAGAAGGATAGAAATAAAGTAGTCCACAGATAAATGCCCAGATTAATAAGGATCTCTTTAGCAGACAGTATAATAAAATGAAGTAAATTCTTCAGTGCATTCTGGGTAAAATCCTCTCAATGGAGATGTGGACCCTCAGATTGGAACATCGAGAGAAAATGAGTCATAGGTCCACAGGGAAATATTCATACAATTGATGGCAGGTCATGTGAAGCAGCTACTTCATATTTGATTCCTAAAGCTTATTTTCAAATTAATGTCTCTTTTTATTTGAACCAGCATTATTTATTTTATTATAACTAGTAAGATTTTTTTTTCTTGTAAGATAAGCTTTAACTTACTGTTTTCCCTAATGCAATGTCCTATTGCCCCAACCATTTAATTAGTGGGGGTTTTTTTTTCAATACTATCATAAATGAAGTTCCTTAAACCAAGATAAGAAAAGAAAGCCATAGTCCCCATTAACTCATTGTCTAGCAACCTCCTCAAAATACTGTCATTCAGCAAACTGTCCTGTTGATTTCTCTAAAATTTATGACAAGGTTGTCATTGGTACTATATAGAATGGTCATAAAATTAACTGCTGGTCAAAACTGGCATTGCTCCACAAATTAATTAATCTTTATTAATTTAATTAATAGTTACAAGATTGTAACTATTCATATTGGAGTAGATCACAGAGAGCTGCTTATGTAAAAAACAGCCTAATTGGAAATTAGGTCTAAAATTTGTGATATTTTTCTCTTGACAATGTTTTCTTCAGAGTACACATTTGAAACCACTGCATATTTTCTTTATCCATCTTAACAAAATATGTATATAGCACTTCTCACTCAATTTGCTTGAAAGAGTATCTTTCATCTCGGTTTCAGAAGCTTCTTTGAAATAACTCTCCAGTGGTCCCTTCCTTCATGCACACATGCATGCATGCCTGTATTTTCTATAAGATGATCCCAAGTTTAATATCTGTATTAGATTAAAATCTGATTGGGTATTTTCCTGTCATACAGTAAAAGACAGAGACAGAAAGTTAGGTAATTTATATAACTTCACAAAGTTTCAGCATCTTCACAACACACTGTGTTCCAGAACATGAGATGCCTCTCCATTTATTCAGGTTTTCTTTCATGTTTTTCAGTAAAATTTTATAGTTACCCTCATATAGGTCTTACATATTTCTTGTTAGCTTTCCCTAGATATCATATGGTTTGCTTTTCCTGTGAATAGATCCTTTCTGTTCATTTGTTTTTAGGACTGGCTATTTTCGTTGTGTTGAACTTCTGCATTTGCGTTTCGTTTGCTTGCTTAGTTGGTTAGTTGACTTTGTGTTCAGCTACCTTACATTTTAATTACTCAATTATTTATTTATATTTACTCAAAATATAAAATTTAAAATGGGACTTTAGTTTTTCTATCTAATTTGTCACTTCCACCACTTCTTACCTCCCAAATCTGCTTCAAAAACCATGTTTTATTAAAAGGTCAATATTATATCATATTGACAGATATTATATCAATATAGACATGAACTTATAAGAACAGAGATTTCAGAAAACTATTTAGGATCATTTTCTGAAATATCTGTGAATCACTATGGGTTCTGTACTGTGCTTGTACTTTCTCCAATTAAAGGTTTTTTGACAGAATTTATTAGAAGCAGAATATATCCACAGCCTAGTTTAAGTCATTTTACCTCATTTTGTCTGTACTTCCTCTCCTTCTGTTTAAGCTCAGGATCCCTGGCTTTTTGCCTGGCAACAAAAACCGGTATAGACAATACTTTTTCCTCATTCTGTCAATCATATTCAGTAATTAATTAATTTAAGTTGTGAAAAATTTGCAACTGTTATCAGTGCCACTGCCTTTGGAAGTATGAAATTAGGCAGCAGCAGCAGTCAACTAATTTTTAGAGCTTCAAAAGCTATGACGCTGATGATCCCAGTTCCTAGTCTTGACTTCATTCATTTAAAAAACTCTTTCTGTGCTCATATTTAAGGCTAAAATTAATTACTCATATCTAATAGAAGGTGGTATAAACACTATGCACACCATTCATATTACTTAGTTTGAAAGCCTTTTATTGTTTTTAAATGATTACTATTTTGTTTTGAAACAAAAATGGATTATAAGAGTGAACATAGCAAAACTTTATCCCATTTTTTGAAAATGTGAGCATGATTCATATATATTTATTTACTTATCTAAACACTGAGTAAAACTTATAGAAAG